AGAGAGGGAGGGGGGAAGCAGCGGCCATGGATGATCAGGGCTGCCCGCGGTGCAAGACCACCAAGTACCGCAACCCCTCCCTGAAGCTGATGGTGAATGTCTGCGGGCACACGCTGTGAGTGCGGCGAGGGGGGGGAACGGGCGCGGTGAGGGGAGGGGCGGCCGCTCCTCTGCGGGGGGACCGGGCGGCGGGGCCTGAGGGACACGGTCGGTTCCCCCCCCAGACTCCGGTCGGACCCCAGATCCCCCGCGTGTGTCTGTTGCGGCGGGGACGCGGGTCGCGGTGCGGGGCTGCCGCGCTGCTTTCGCTGCTTCTCCCCAACCAACGACCCGGGGCGGTGCGGGGCTCGGCCTGGCCGGTACCGGCCCCCAAGGCGTGGGGGGTTTGGGGGCATGGGGCAGGGAACGGAGAGAAGAATACATCTCTCACCAGTTTAAAAGCTTTTTGTTAGTCTTTAGTACTGTGCTTGGGTAACTGAGGGGAAAAAAAAAAAGGTGATTTGTGTTATTTTTTTTTGGCGTGATAATTGTGAATGGGGAGTGCTGCGTCTGAAGGTTTGATGCTGTTTAAAATGTTGGAAAAACCCCCTCGGAACCGGTGCTGAGCGTGTCGTTCCCTCATTCCGTTCTTTTTTTGTTTTGTTTTGCAACAGGAGTCATGACTCTTTTTTTATTATTATTACATTTTATTTTCCCCCAAAGCTGAGCACTTAGATGGTTCCCACAGCCGGCTCTCACTGATCTCGGTCACACTCTGAACTCATTCACTGCCGGCTCCGCAGATCTTCCTCAGTGTGGAAACTTTAAAGGCTCTGCTTTAAATCCTTTCTAGATGCACAGGACAGACACCTCATGCTGCAGCAGCAGCCCCACTTTTCTGGTTGGTTCGTTGGTTTTCTGTTTGTGTCTTTTTAGTGTCTTTCCATCTTTCCTGTGATACGTATATCTTGAACTGTTAAACTGCTTGTCAATTACATTCCAGAGACACAGCCTGGAAGCTTTGCTCCACTCATCAATGTAGGTGTTGTAAAGGAGCAGGGTAAAGGAACTGGATGGCAACAAAGGATTTATATTATTTTTTTTTTAGAAAAAAACATTAGTTTTCATCCATTTCCCTGATCCTCTGCAGCCACCCAAGGACTTCTGTTGCCGCGAGGGAAGGTGTGTGGGAGAGCAGCAGATAATCTCCTGTAGGAGAGGGAGGTGTAGGCACCCTGGTGATGCTGGCTGTGTGAAAGTGCAGTGTTAGCTGGAGTTCAAAAGGCAACGGCCGCATTTAGGCGAGGCTGTGCAGCTTTAAAACGATGTTTCTATCTTCTATTTCGGTAAAGATCAAAGGACAATTGATTTTGATCGTCTTCTGCTTTCTCAAGCTTCTCCAGAGTCACTTCCAGCAGAGGACAGCATGTTTCAGTTTGCTCTCCTGCGTTGGCTCTCAATGTTTTTTGTTTGTAGCTTCGCTTGAGAAAATTAGTCATGTTTTGTGGTTTACCAGGTCCAGCTGCTGATGCCTTATTTGGGGTTGATGTCTCTCTCTGTCTTGCTTTCCTCGTTTCTTCCCACCTGCGCGAGGACTGGCTCTGCTTCCCCCAGCTCCTGCTGTTCCCAGTTCTGCCTTGGACAGTCGGTAGCCTGGATCCATGTGGCCCTGGATTGCTCCAGCTGGGTATCTCTGCGGGGTGCTGGCCAGGAGAGGGCTGTGCAGACCCACCCAGATTGACCTTACCTGGACCCAGCGAGGTCTGTTAGTCCCTCCTTTACCTCCCCAGCAAAGAGTGTCTCTTCAGCTGAGCAACTCTGCTTTAAAGTGTATGTGTGTGAGGGTAAAGTTGGAGTCACTGTGTAACTGGGATCCCTGGATTTCTTTGGTTTTGTTGTCAGTAAGGGCTTTCTATCTTGATGTGCTTCAAGTGGGTCACTTTTCCTCTATAATATCCTTCCAATAGCTCCTTGAAGGCTGTATTTTTATTATTATTTCCAGATGGTGTTACAGAGCTTTCATGCTGGAAGTTATTTCTTAATAATGGTTAATAAAATCTCGTAATAACTGATCTAGAAGCTGGAAGGTCAGATGAAGCATTTGTGAATGAAATATGAGGGGGAAAGAAGGGAGGTAATTGATGTTTGTTCTTCTATAAATTCCCAATGTTTCAGGCAAAGGAAAGAAAGTCTAACTAATTCTCAAAGCAAAAGAGTTAACATAAGAGATTTACCCTTCTTAGGCGATCTATTCTGATAGCTTGCTGCTCTTAACATTGAAAATACTTCTCCTAATTTCTTATCTAAATTTATTTGCTATAGTTTAAGCATTTAAGAATTCTAACATGCATTTTATATGCCTTGTGAGCTCTTTATTACACGTCTTCTGCAGGAACGTTCACACGTTTTGGGAGCTTTCTCTTTGTTGTCTTCCACACTTAAGAAATCCCGTTTCTTCAATCTTGTCTCTTCAGTGATTTTTTTAAAATATTTTTTTTTAATACACATCTGTGGGCTGTTGTCACTGCTTTTCTTGAGGCTTTTTTTCACCTGTTTTGCATTTTTCTGGAGCACTGGAACTGGACATGGTGCTTCATCTGAGTCAGTACAACAGGCAGAGTCAAAATTACTTCTTGTGCTTTTCTTTTGATTCCTGCATTTTGTACATCTCATTAGGACGAGTCTTTACATATATTTTATCTTTGGTGGTGGTATGTGTGATTTATGTTTAGCATAAACTGCAGATTTTGTAGCACTTTACCGCTCAACCTCTCTGGGCAGAGAAGTATTTAACCTGCCTTCCCTGTTTGTTATGCAGCTGATTATTCTTATGTGTTTGCTCTGTCAAACTGCATATTATTTCAGGTGACTTTTGCACTTGCTTCAAGTGACTTTGGAGTTTGAGTCCTTCTGTCAAAGCGCTTCTAACTGTCCCAGAGTATCCTCTGTTAATTTCAAACAAACAAACAAACAAAACTTCTCTGTCCTGGTATGTTCCAATGTGTAATTTGTGGACAAGATGTTGTCTGGGAGATCTTGGAAGTTGTTGGCAGCAAATCCTTGCTAAATAGCCTTCCCTACCTCCCCACCCCCCAGCTTACTGTTTGTGACAGTGGAGAGTACTAAAAGATTAGAACCACGTGAACAGGCTTGCCACCTATTTTCTCTTTGACTGAAATAACGATAACTTATCTTTGGGTATGGTTTCTAATCATCTCTCAGTACTTCAGTGTGTACCGTGTTTGTTCACATTATATGACCGTCAATTTAAGCGTGTCAAAAGTCCACTTAAACCAAAACTATATTGCCTCTAGTTGTAGTTTCACTACCTACATTGTCACTGGGGGAAATTATACTCATTTGATATGATTTGCTCTTAACAAATTGTGTGTTGGATCTTATCTGAAACATGCAGGAGGTAGGTCATTTGCCTGATTATTTCAGCATCTTCCCAGGGGCTGACAGTAGCCCTGACTGGTCTGTGTTTACCTGTGTGTTCTCTTTCCTGCTCTTTAGGGGCAGGTGCTTTTGCCCTTTTTCAGACTGCTGGAACTTAATGCAGAGAGCAGAGATGATTTTTGATAACTGCCTTTGCCAGTTTTCAGGGGTTAAATGTTATGGCTACTAGATTTGGAAACCTCGAAGGACTCTCTTAATGCGGCAACCCCTGAATATAGTCCATAGGTTTATGGAAGCTTCTTAAGTTGTCTGCAGGAGCATATTGTCTTCATCATGCTTTCTGTTTGAAGCTTGCTGGTAAATATGCAGGGAAAAATTCAGTCTTGATTGACTTTGGTGGCTCAGGAGGCTTGGAGCAACTGCTCCAACGCATTTCCCTGTTCTGCCCTGGGTTCTCGGTCCTGCTGCTGCAATAGGAGTTACATGAGGTGGTTAATGCATCTTAGTGAATGAAGATCGATGCAGAAAACTCCCCAAGTGCTTCAGCATTGTCTGTTAGAGATTTTCTTCCCACTGAATAGCATTTTCGTGTTCTCGTCAGCGTTGCCTCCCAGTAGTTGCTTTGACCTTTCCAGTTCCGTTCACTGGGCTGTTGGCTTTAAGTGACCCTCAGTGATTTGATTTGCACTTGTGCGAAATATCTTGAATTTCCAATCATTAGAGATCCTTTACTTAGCTGAGATGATTTGTCAGTAAGCTTCAGATCGTTCTTCTGGGTTTCACACAGCTTGTGGTTTTACCATTAGTTCATTTTCTTTATTTTGTGGCTCTCTTTTTTTGCCCTTCTGAAGAATTGTGAGAGTTGCCTTCTTATGCCTTCTGTCAGCCAAATTGTTCTCACTTTCGCCTTCTTAACCAATTCTTCCCCTTTGGTTAGGATGAAACTAGAAGAGCCTTCCTTTTATAATTTTTTCCTTCTTTCTTCTTTTTTTTTTCTTTTCCTCTTTTCACCTTCTATAGAAACAAAGTTTATCTCAAAACTATTTGAGGACTCGTTTGGCAACATGTGTCCCGGTCGCTTCTCCTTTTTTGACCTATGTCTGCTGTGAAGCTTCCTCTTGCTGTATGAAGTCCACTGCTTTGGAGGTTTGGCTGGTTGTGATTCTTTTCCCCTCTTCATTAATTTAAATCTCTCTCATCTGGGGTAGATACTTTGTGTTAGAGTATCTCTCTCTTTTACCGTCACCTAGATCCTGCCAACAAACTCGTTCTAGATGTTAGCCCCAACAGACGCAGGTGGCATTTCTCCTCCCCTGTGTCTCTTCCCGTGGCAGTGTGGCTGACACAGCTCCTGGTGGCTTTCTCCTGATGCCGCTTGTTGGCCACGTTCAGTTCCTTGGTGGCCAGTGGGCTTCTGCAACGTGTCCCTGCCTGCTTGTGGCAGAGCAGGGGTTGGTGTGCTGATAAGCCCAGCAGTGCTGCGGTGGAGATAAGGGATAGGCAGATGAGTGCCAGAGGATGAAATCAGACATTGGGTCTCGGCTGTAAACATCCTTCAAGTTGGGCTTGCGCTGCGGTTTATTCCAATGGAGCTATGCCAAGCCTTACAAATATGGGAATGTTTGGGGGTTTTTTTGGGGGGAGGGGTTCTTAGTTTCTTGTTTTCCTTGGTTATTGCTTCCTTACCAGTATCGCCAAAAGTGTAATACCATATGGTTCTGGCATTAGAGTAATGTG